ACCACATATGTTTGTGATTTTAGAAGTTTTGATTTTATTAAAAAAAAAATTAATGTATTTTCCTGCAGAAAACGTACACTTTTATTTAATGTTTATTAAAATGACGCTTTAAAATACTAGTTAATGATTGAAATATTGGTATGGAACAGAGAAATAGAGTGTTTTGTCAAAAATTACCAAAAATTGCCAAGATTCGAGATAACTTATTTCACTGGTTATAGAGAAATAATTGCCACTTTTCACTTGGCTGGCCGAGATTTCTTCATTTTAAGATTTTAGAATTTTTGTGTCGGATTGACAAAGTTGCGCTTGTTGGTGATGAATTTGCGGGGAGATGTGCTGCGGTTGTTTTTATGAATGAATTTACTTGGCCTTGAGAAATATGCGCATGCGTTTAGGAATGAAATAGTTATTGTTGTATTTGAATATGCGCGTAATTATGTATGTGTGTATGTATGCTGCCGTGAGTTGTACATATATGTACATTTGTATATATGTGCGTAGTACTTAGACAGCAATATGCACGTATGTATGGATGTACTTATATATGCATGCAAAAACGTTGTCAATTAATGAAGCATGTAGTACATATAGATACATATATGTATGCGTGGGAAATGCATTTTCATTTGACTCCAAAACTATTGGGGCATATTAGTAGACGAAATAAAGTCGACTCTTAAGTTAAAGTTTGTCAGCCCCAAATAAGAAGAAAGTTAGTATGTACTTACATATATGTAATATTATGTGCAGGTGCAAGAACGTTATCAAAAAATGATTTTGGAGTATGTGTATGGGGTACATATTTACATATGTAAGTACATACATACATACATTCAGCTGCCATCAACAAATTATGTTTATTTATTTTTAATAATTTCCTTTAAAATATAATTCAATCTGGAACAGAAACCACAATAATAAAAGTTTAAAAGCTTGCACAAATTGCAAAAAAATGAATCAACCTTCAAGAAATGGTCATCCAAATTTTTTATTTGAATATTTAATATATTTTCGGGAATGCAGTATTGTAGTCCATTCAACTATATTATAAGAAAGTGCAAGTTTCAAGTTGTTAAAAATTACCGTTGATTTTTTAGTTTTTTTTGTTGGGGTGTTGCTGTTTATTTTTCATACAAAAAAAAATTGGTTCATGTGTTATATGGAAGAAAATGCGAACACCCTCCATAAAAAAAAATTCTAAGAAATCAACGGTAATTTTTAACGACTAGAAACTTGGACTTTAGTGTACTTGATTGAATGGACTACAAAGCTGCATACCCGAAAATTTTCTAAATATTCTAACTAAAATTTTTTAAATTTTTATAACAATTTTTTGAAGTTTGATTAATTATTTTGCAAATTGTGCAAGCTTTTAAACTTTTATTATTGTGGTTTCTGTTATAGATTGAATTATGTTTTAAAGGAAATTATTAAAAATAAATAATAAACATAATTTGCAAACAATATCATTTTGAATTTCGTTGCTAATTAGTTGATCGCATCTGTATGTACTACAAGTATCCATATGCGCATGCCTGGGAAATGGATTTGCATTTGACTCCAGAACTATTATTTACAAATAATATCTACAAGTATTGCAGTAAAAGTCAAAAACAACTTTGAAGTTAACAAGTGCATTGCTTTGTAAATTTTTTTGTTAATGCGTCCATCTTTAAAGTGAGTTTGTGAAAAAACTAAGGCAGTTAGAAAACTGGGATTTGTTGCATTGAAAATAGCGTAGCAACTACAATAAGAATCGTTAAAAAAAAAAAACGATTTTTGCGACCCAAATGCCGACGGCAAATCACCAATGAGTTTGCATATTTGCATAGCTTTCACCTATTTATTAGATAACAAATCTACGTTTTGGAGTTAAAGCATTGCCTGGCCAATATCTTCGAAAATTAATTTTGAAGTTAACAAACACATTGCTTTATACATTTTTTTGTTAATGCGTCCATCTTTAAAGTGAGTATGTGAAAAAACCAATTTTATCATTTTTTTAACTAACATGCATTTTTACTATTTACATGATATAATACTCGTACAAGAAGCGAACTTGAACAGATGCTTTTTAAGTTTTTAGCAACATTAACTACTGAATAAATTATATTTAACAAATGGTCATGCAGAGATGCAAATCAGCAATTCTAACTAATATAAAAGTACATTTAATATACATAATTTAACTATATTAATTTATTAATTTTATAAAAAAAAATATACATGAATACGTTTCTGCATTCATATGCAACCTAGCAACACATAGCCAGACGCTTGCAACAAATATAACATTATCACAACACAAATTTACATTTTTCTCTGTTAACTCTTGTTGAAATGTTAATCGCGCTGTGGTGATATTCCATGGATTTATTTTTCAGCCAAACAATTTTACGTTCCAAAAATTTGCACCTTCTCTATCTATCTAAGTTCTCTGGTTTTACATTTAAAATAACCAATTAACATTTTGTGGTACCCAGTGACTTTGCATTGGTTGTACATTTAAAATAACCAATTAACATTTTGTGGTACCCAGTGACTTTGCATTGGTTTTACATTTAAAATCCCCAATTGTATGACAACAGCAATTAAATTTATTGTCTACGAACGGTCACCATGCAAAACTAGCAGCAGCTAGTTAGGGTTAGTGTTAATTGTCCGTAAAGAAACATAGCTATTCTCCAATATGAATGGAGAACGGCGCTAGGTTTATTCCTGATGTGGAACGTAATCACATACATACATACATACAATGCATAAAAGTCATTGTCTAAAATTTTACTACCACGCGGCCATTACGTAAGTTTGCTGGAACGGTTGGGTGAGTATGCATGCGAAATTGCAGGCTTTTGTACTTATTAATCTTTTTCGATTTTCAGATCACATGAATCAAATTAGCCGTTCTGGTGGCCCTGGTGGGTCTTCCCAACAAATGCAGTTAGGTCCAGGGCAGATCCCGGGAGGGCCAATGAACGTGAATGCTATGAATTTACAGCAGATTCAACCAATGGGTCAACAGCAAATGGCGCAAATCAGCATGAACCATCAGCAATTAAATCAAATGATGAACGCACGTTTGAACGCTGCTGGTCCTATGGGTACAAATGCTGGTGCAGGAGCGCAAATATCAGTACCGAAGGGCTTGGAATCATCTGCGCATCAGACATTTGAGTCTGCTGTTGTTGCTGTTGATTTTGTGCAGCCTACATACCAGTGGCAGATGGCACAGTACTTGGTGAAGGACTTTGCCGTAAGAACTGCTGCTACTGACCCGGAACACCACGATTAACCTGAAACATCTGGCCACCCTGACCTATTGGCATATTTACCTTCTGTTGCATATTCTGGGAAATACCTATCATTTGGCTGATACCACTTTGCTGGCCAGCATTTTGGGGCATTGCACCACCCTGTTGACCTTGTGGTCCACCAACAACATTGCCTGGATGCATTGGGCCGTATGTTTATAGTAGATTTTATAACAAAAATGAGCTACAATGACAACTTTTATTCTTCAAAGGTAATCTAAATCTGGATGGCACTATGTTTTAATTTTATTCTGGCCATTACCACTATCCGGCAACTAGGTATGTATATTTTTATAATTAACAGCAGTGAAAGGGTCATTTTAAATTAACAGGAAAATTATTTGTTGGTGAAGGAGGGTTGAAGGTGTAGCTATTGTTTAAGTTACACAGATACAAAGAATATGTCTAACGAGCTATTGATTCCAAATCTAATTGCTTATTACATATATCTACACTAAATTTGGTATCGAAATTTGGTTTGGCTTCGACGACGTCAATTGGACAAGGCAAAGTTTTTTATTATTCATTTTTAAATACAAATTAAGTTATTTGCTGCAATATCAAAAATCATGCCGGCGTACCATTCTCAGATTAAGGAATTTCCTCAAGTGGTTGGAAACATGGCACTTTTGCCTCTACGCACTCAAGCTCGTGGGCCTGCTCCTAGTGTCAATGTAGAATCTGATATCATTGATGAGTCACTGTATTACTTTAAGGCAAATGTTTTCTTTCGAACTTATGAGATAAAGTCGGAAGTAGATCGTGTGCTTATTTATATTACACTCTATATAACTGAATGTTTGAAGCGCTTGCAACGTTGCAACAACAAAAACCAAGGTGCTCAAGAAATGTACAGCTTGGCCATTTCAAAGTTTGATATACCAGGTGATTCTGGGTTTCCATTAAACGCAGTTTATGCTCGACCACAGAATGCACAAGAGGCTGATTTGATGCGTCAGTATTTTTTACAAATGCGCCATGAAATAGGAAATCGGGTTTGTGAAAAAGTTTTCAGCACTGACGACGGCAAGCCAAATAAGTGGTGGATTTGTTTTGCCAAGAAAAAGTTCATGGAGAAATCTTTGTCAGGCCCAGGGCAATAAGAATCTGCGTAACATTGTTTAAAAGTATGCTTCTCATATTACTTATTTAATGTATTAATTGTATTGTTCCAGTAACTTTAACCACACCGTAGAGTATGCCATCATCGTGAATGATACCTAAATGAGTCGTTATAATAAAAAATATTATTATGTGGATAATCAGTAGTTAAAACATACTTAAACTTGACACACTTGCCAAGTATTTATGTACGTATGTATGTATATGAGAAAACCGTACGACATATTCAAACCTCCACCAAGAATTTGCGACTGGTCGATCTTTCCCAAATACGGAAGGCGTTATGTGCGTACTTCAACTTGTGTTCAAAGTCTCGCCTAGTCATCTTTGTTTTTTTTTTTTTTACTATAAACATTTAAATATATGCCACTCCAGTAACATTAAAATTCGGTGATACTTGCAAGTCAGCGAGCGTAAACCAAGCTAAACCAATGCACATAGCAATTGCCGCTGCAAAGTCTAGTGGTCCATAACGTTTCCCTTGTATTAAAATACTGCGAAATATGTCGTACGTGTGAGAAATCGTCTCAATACGAATGCGAAGTTCCTCATCTACTTCAAGGCGAAGTAGCACGATTAGATCAAAAGTTTAAATTTATGCTTGACAGCACAGCTCAAAATAATCCAAAATCTATAAAAGTGATTTGTTGTCTCGCTTGCAAACGTTTACCATGCGTACCACCAATTACTGTAACTATTCCAGAGGAATACCCGTCAATATCGCCATCTTGTGCATTGGCTCAGCAAGAATATGGTACCACTCCGTTTTTAAAAGCTGTGCAGGCTGCATTTAAAGCACGAATTGCAAAATTGCCAAGATTGTATTCGTTGTCACATTTGTTGGATACTTGGGCTTGATGTTGGTGGTGGCTGCATTGGCGCGTTATCTGTTATGGCTGACCTTTTGGGTGCCGTTGATTCAGGTACAGGTATTCTGCTGGCTGTAACCATCATCTATCAGTACTTCGAAATCTTCGTTAAGGAGCAATCGGAGATGGGTGGCATGGGCACTTTACTGTTTTAAGTTGGGGGTGCGCTGTACATTATTCTAATTAATGTTGTTTATAAGATGTGACTCACTCAAAATTGAACAATATCTATCCCCGAAAATATAAACCAATTGCCATATCGCTTTCAGCGTCATATGCAAAAGTATAGCTCGGTGCGTCTAACCCGTCATTACAATTATCGCTTCCAACTCAATGGCCAAATCGCTCAAGATCGTAACCATTGTACACCCATATCGCACAATGGTAAGTCATCGGATTATGAACCAGGAATAACCGCAGGTGATGCCGATAAAGAAGACAACCAAAATTATGCAGCTGCCACTGCACTAATGATTATAACAACAATAATTCTCATATTGGTGGAGGTGGAAACTGCAAGTTTACTAATACACAAAGGACTAATACCTACGAGCGGAACTGGCGCACATAACGGATGCCGGAAAAATGGGTGAGTTAGACATATCCCTTTAAAATATATGCATATGTATGTATAGATATTTTTTTTTTTTTTTTTGAACTATAGTCTTTGCTGGTAGGTTTTGACAATTGAGGCGAACTCATTTGGTCTAATGGGTTGACTGACGATTATCGAAACCTGTCAAGTAAAATGTATTCGCTTCCCATCAGACCTAGTTGTGTTGAAAAACGAGCAAGCATAATGAACAATTGTAACGACTTTCAACTTATTTCGCTTATTATTATATTTTTTGGAGGATTTTAATTGATAATTCGCACCTCGTTACCAATTTCGTATTTCTGAAACAATTGTTCATCAAGCTTGGTCTGTCTTATTTTTACCCGATTCATCACGCTGGGTCTGTCTTATTTTTACCCGATTCTATGCTTACAAGATCTAACGATGGTCGGTTCTTTATACCCAGATCTACCCGGAGAGGCCGGGCTAAGAACCATCACCAAAAATCTAACTAAAAACACGACTACCTTTAATATTGCTCTGGGTTAAACTTGATTATAGGCGTTGAATCCTTCCGAATGCATAGAAGTGGAATTTTTGTGCGATGAGGAAGTGGAATTCACGCGGGATTGGGGATCAACGGAGAGGGTTTATTTACGAAGTGCTTGCTGGCTCCTCGGTTTCTTGATTTTGGGATGGAAGTAGGACCAGTTTGGCCAGCGGTCTCGTAATCTGCCCTTTTTCCGTGATGATGTCAACTACGCGTACTCGATCGTCGGGACCAGGATGTAGGCTGATAATTCGACACAGATGTGTTCAAGGGCGACTATCTCTCATGGCCAACTTTCCGAGATATGTTCACGGCCATCTACATCCTGAACAAGCGCCTCACCCCAGTTGAGAAACTAGTTCACCTCAACAATAAAACACAAGGGGAGGCAAAAGACATAGTGCGAAAGTGCCCACTTACCCATGAAGGCTTTTCGACAGCCTGGAAAAACCTGTGTGAGCGATACGAAAACAAACGTATCTTAGTTAACACACAATTAAAAGTTTTATTTAGCTTAAATACAGTGGAATCTGAGTGTGGTAGCTCAATTAAAAACCTACAGCGCGAGATTAATAATTGTTTATCGTCCCTAAAAAGTCATCAAATTGACATCTCTAATTGGGACGCAATTATTATATATTTGTGTTCAACGAAGCTTCCAGAAAGTACACTGGCCCTATGGGAACAGACCATAGACCAGAAAACTGACATTCCAAAGTGGGAGGATATGGACAGGTTCCTATCCAATAGATTCCAAACTTTGGAAACTCTAGCGGGGCTAAAGGGTACAACAACGGTGAAAGCTCCAAAGCACCAACCCGCACGGCACCACCAGGAAGCTAACACTAAAAGGCTAGGAGCCTTTCAGGCAAGCGTGAGCAAGTTCACCTGCCAAATGTGCCAAACTAATGAGCACAAGTTACGCAACTGTCCACAATTCCTCAACAAAACACCTGCTGATAGAATCGATTTTTTGAAAAGCAAAAAATGGTGCCTGAACTGTCTTAGTACTGGACATACCGTGTCAAGATGCACAAACCCATTTAATTGTATAAAGTGCCACTCGCGACACAACACGCTCCTTCATATTGAGACAGCTCAAACAAAGGCAACGACACTTGGGACCTCTTTGGATTCTGCGACTAATTCTGCATCAACATCCAATCAGGCCCAAGCCAAACGCAATTCAACAAAGTCAAACAAGCATACAAGCAAAAACGTGAAGTCTTGCTATGCGAATACAAACACAGGTGTGTTATTAGGGACAGCACGCGTCAACATTTATCTCAATGGTACGAACTATTCCGCTAGAGCACTTATTGATTCTGGTTCAGAGTGTTCTTTCATTACTGAAAGACTAAAACGCAGAATTCACTTGCCGTCAAAGCGTATGCATGCCCAAGTTTCGGGCATCACTAATACAACTACGGCGCAGGTTAAAGAAGCGTGCAACATCGAATTGCGGTCTCCTGTTGACCCGTTGTTCCGCTTAAATACCTCTGTGCTCGTGCTAGCACAACTGACTGGAAATCTTCCTACTTGCCACATTAGTGCAGTGACTAAGCAAGCATTTCCAGATCTAATTCTAGCGGATAAACGATTTTTCGTCAATGAACCCGTAGACCTTGTTCTGGGTGGCGACATATATCCACAAATTATTCTGAGCGGGCTTAAGAAAAACATATTAAACACACTTCTGGCCCAAGAAACAGTATTTGGCTGGATAATAACAGGGCGAACTGATACCTCGAATCCAGGAACGAATATCGTCTCATACTACAGCGAAGTTAGTCTGGACAAGCAACTGAGTGCCTTTTGGGAGCTTGAGGAGATTCCAAAGAACAAGAGCCTTAATGAAGACGACAAGTACTGCGAGGAGCTGTATCAGAAGACAACCATACGAAATAATAAAGGAAAATACATCGTGTCACTACCATTTAGGAAAGATTTTCCAGGAAATATTTCCCTAGGCCCATCCCTTAAAAGAGCATGTTCTCAATTTTACCGGAATGAGACACGGCTGGCCAAGGATCCCGTCCTGCAAAAGG